TATCTATCTATCTATCTATCTATCTATCTATCTATCTATCTATCTATCTATCTATCTATCTATATACACACACACACACACACTAAAAATAAAAAATCTTGGGGGGAAATGAGAACGTACAATAGAAGAGTAAGAAGAAGAATATTGCAATTTGCTCCCGTGCAAATAGTAACATCCCCGATTCCACGTTTTAGCAAGTTTTTTTTTTCTGCCTGAATACTTTCTGGCCAGTCAACCAAGGCTGTATTGAAGGCACTGAAATCCATTTACTCCCTTCCCCCTGTTGCCCCCACCCCCATTAGGGAGAAAATGCCATTCTCGTGGAAAATTTCCGAGTTCTTATTAACGTTTGACTAATTCCTTCCCTTCTCCCCATCCATTTAACGTTTCAGTCCTCAAAAAGACTTATTCACTCCTGCAAACCAAAGTCAGAGGAACAGACCGGGTGGAAGGGGGGGGGGCGGAGAGGGACGGCCCCTGAAGGCAGCAATTAAGCGTGCAGACAACTGGAGGGTAACATGTAGCCTTCCAGATGTTGGTGAATTTCTTCGTCTCTCCCGGCTGAGCGATGCCGAACATCTGGAGACTCGCCGGTTGATTAAGTAGATCAAAAATTAAAGGCAGAACATGAAGTGATGGATGGAAACTAATTAAGGAGAGAGCGAACTTAGAACTAGGGAGGAATGACTATCCTATCCTATTTTCTGTTCTGTTTTATCCTATCCTGTTCTATTTTCTGTTCTGTTCCAATTCTATTCTCTATTCCTATTCCTATTTCCTTCTCTTCTCTTCTCTTCTCTTCTCTTCTTCTCTCTCCTCTCCTCTCCTATTCAAAAATTAAAGACAGGACAAGAAGCAATGGATGGAAACTAATCAAGAAGACCACCAACCTAGAACTAGGGAGGAATTACCTGACTATTCTATTCTATTCTTTCTATTCTATTTTAGAATAGATTCTATTTTATTCTTTCTATGGTATTCTATTCTATTCTACATTCCCTGTTCTATCCTATCCTATCCTAACCTATCCTATCCTATTTTCTGTTCTGTTCTATTCTACCCTACTCTATTTTCTATTCTATTCTATTTTACATTCTGCTTGGAAGCTGGGCGAGAGAAGAAACTTATTGTTGCCCAATAAGGAATAGAATATGGAATAGAGAATAGCGTATGGAATGGAATAGAATAGAATAGAACAGGAATAGGATTGTGCCATCGTGATTTCAGGACTAAATTGTCCCAACCTCCTTGAGAACAAAGTGCCTTTTTCTCTTGCAAAATAAATAGATTGATTTAATAAAGAAAAGAATGGTATGAATATGTGTGAGAATGTGCACATGTTGCAACTATCTATGTATTTTTAGAAAAGAACAACAGGGCTTTGCATAGAAATAGCTTGATCCGAGTCTCCTTCTCCCTGCTTTTGATTCCCAGCTGCGCAGGGAGGATATTAAATTTTATTTTATTTTTTGTCTCTCCCTACCAGATCAGAATCTGCACGCATTTTCATGCACGCTGAAGAATCCTGGAGACTACTGAGTCAGGGAATAAAAATGTTGTTGCACCCCAGTCGCAAAGGGGATGCCAAGGACATTAGAAACCAGCAGGCCACCGCTTAATCCCCTCATTTATAGGGTAAGATGGAAGCTGAAGTCTTAATACAGAAGGACAGAGTTGGAAGGGTGCTTGTAGGTCATCTAGTCCAACCCCCCCCCCCGCCCAAGCAGGAGACCACCATTTCTGATAGATGGCAGTCCAGTCTCTTCTTGAAAGCTTCCAGAGATGGAGATCCCACAACTTCTGAAGGCAACTTCTGTTCCATGGGTTGATGGTTCTCACTGTCAGGAAATTTCTCCTTATTTCCAGGTTGAATCTCTCAGTTTCCATCCATTCTTCCTCGTCTGACCTTGAGGTACTTTGGAAAATAGCTTGACCCCCTCCTCTCCATGGAAGTCCCTCCAATATTGGAAGATGGCTATCAGAGAAGAGCAACCAGGATGATTAGGGGACTGGAGACTAAAACAGGCTGGCCTTCTCTCCACCAAAGCCCAGCTTAGTTTAGCTTCCGAAAACTTACATATTATATAAGAGAACACCACCAGGCCCAACACTGTATCTTTGCTTTCCCTTCCATCTGAATAATTCACTCAAAGCCCGAGTAATTTCAGCAGAAATCTCAGGAGGCAGAGGGAGAGAGGGAGGATGGGAAAGAGGAGAGAGAGAGAGAGAGAGAGAGAGGGAGAGAAGAGGAAGGGGGAGAGAGGAAGAGAAGAGAGGAAGGGGGCAGAGAGGAGGAGGGAGAGAGGAGGGGAAGGGAGAGAGAGAGGAAAAGAGAGAAAAGGAGGGAGGGGAGAGGGGAGAGAAAGAGAGAAGGAGATAGAGAGAGGAGGGAGGGAGAGAGGAGGGGAGAGAGGAAGAGAGAGAGAAGGAGGGAGAGGAGAGAGGAGAGAAAGAGAGAGAAAGTGATAGAGGAGGGAGGGAGAGAAGGGGGAGCGAGAGAGGAAGAGAGGAGAGAGAAGGAGATAGAGAGCGGAGGGAGGGAGGGGAGGAGAGAGAGAGGAAGTGAAAAGAGGAAGGGGGAGAGAGGAAGAGAAGAGAGGAAGTGGGTAGAGAAGAGGAGGGAGAGGAAAGAAAGAGAGAAGGAGGTACAGAGGAGGGAGGGAGAGAGGAGGGGGAGAGAGAGAGAGAGGAAGAGAGAGAGAAGGAGGGAGGGGAGAGGGGAGAGAAAGAGAGAAGGAGATAGAGGAGGGAGGGAGAGAGGGGGATGTGAGAGAGGAAGAGAGGAGAGAGAAGGAGATAGAGAGCGGAGGGAGGGAAGGGGAGAGAGAGAAAGAGAGAGAGACGGGAGTGGGAGTAAACACAGCCTATTTGTCTTTCCAGCAGGCAGGCAGCGTGTTTAACCATTAGTCACCTTGCTCTGATTAGGGGTAATTTAAAAGTATAATCTTATTTAAAAGGGGAACTTTCCCAACCCGGGAGAACCCAGCCCTCCTCCTCCTCCTCCTCCTCCTGCTGCTGCTTCCGAGCCAGGTTCACGAGAGCTTCTTTCGCAGGTTCCTTTCCCACTTCTGCTAATTAGCCAAGCTATTTTACGCTCTTTTGTTTAGCCTCGTTTCGCCCCTCTGCAACTGCTGTGAATGAATGGAGCTGGCCAGGGCAACAAGCAACAAGATCCTCTTGATTGGGATATTTCCCGTCTTTTTACACACATACACACACACACAGCTCGTCTGCCTGGAATCCACACCGTATATCGGGCATTAATACGATCGAGCGAGTCCAGAGGTATTTCACGAGAAGAGTCTTCTGCTCCTCTGCTCACAATAGGATCCCTTATGCCACCAGGCTCGAAATTTTGGGCTTAAGACAACCTGGAACTATGCCGATTAAGGTCTGACCTAAGCGTAGTACACAAAATTGTCTACTACAACGTCCTACCTGTCAACGTCTACTTCAGCTTCAACCGCAATGATACACGGGCAAACAATAGATACAAACTCAAAGTAAACCGCTCCAAACTCGATTGCAGAAGATACGAATTCAGCCACAGAGTGGTCAACGCCTGGAATGCTCTACCTGACTCCTCAAATCTCCCACAGCTTCAACCTCAAACTGTCCACCATGGACCTCACCCCATTCCTAAGAGGTCAGTAAAGGGGCCATGAATAAGGGCACCAGCGTGCCTTCCGTCC